AAATAAAGAGAAGTAGTGGTCGGAAGCCGAGGGAAGAATCACGTGCACGGCGCTGTGGCAACTGCGGAGAGACTGGTCATAATACGCACACCTGTAATATTATAGAGGAAGTATCTGAGGAAGAAATTTCTGAATAGTGTTTTTTAATTAGAGGCGTTGTGGTAGAGTTCTTACAATTTCAATCGCGAGTGTAGAAAGTTTTGGCCGGTTCGCTTGTTTGGCCGGTTCGCTATACATGCACGTTACCTATATACCCTTACAAACCACCGACTAACTACCTACGAACAACTTACTATTATAGGTAGGTAGTTACCTAATCATATACATCCAAGTTTTCTACCTACCTACTCCTACCCACCCACCCACTTATAGTACAGTCACCCCCCCCTCTCCTACCCCCTCTCCCTCTCACTCTCTCACAAACTCACAAGTCACAAACTCACAATTCAGTATCTATAAAGACTCTCAAATCTCAAATCTCAAATCTCAAAATCTTCAAATTTCTACATCCATGAGAAGAAGGAGAAACGGAAAAAAAAGAATCTCGCTTAATACAACAACACACTCCTAATCACCCCCATACATCCCGTTTCTCAACACTCAACACCCATCCTCATCCCCAATTCATAAGAACCTGCTTCTTCTTCCCCTGATTCCCTCTCTTCTTCCCCTTCCCATTCCCATTCCCCACCTCCTCCTCATTCTCATCTCCACCCCCCTCCCCACCAACACCCAAATTTCCACTCTGCTCCCCCCAAGAGAACCCATTCGCCCTCCCCCCATCCCCCAGATCCCTCCTCACCATCCCNCTCCCCACCAACACCCAAATTTCCACTCTGCTCCCCCCAAGAGAACCCATTCGCCCTCCCCCCATCCCCCAGATCCCTCCTCACCATCCCACTCCCATACCCAAAAATCGAAGTTTGCGGTTTCGCCGCCTTGGGAAGCGCCGGAAACGCGTCCGTTCCCGGACCGGCACCCTTCCTAGGCGCAGTCCTCGATGCAGGACGCGAGGTAGGGGCCGAGGAGGGGTTGGACGAGGGTCCCGAGGCGGTGGGTGGAGTTTGAATCCAAGGAACGGTTGTGACGGTTCCTTTGCCTTGTCGGGTGGCGGAGCCGGCGGCGGGGGAGAGGGTAGGGAAAGCGTTGGTGCTGGATGAAGTAGGGGCGGTTAAGGAGGAGGAGGAGCCGCCCCAGGATCGATTCTGGGAGACGACTTGGCTGGAGCGTGAGGATTGTGCGGTGGACGATTTGAGTTTCAGGACTCGGGTTGATTTAGCGGTTGATGGTTGGCCTGAAGAGGAAGAAGATCCACCCCCAGTTGTGACTTTGGACGACCAACCGAGTGGTAGTGATCCATTGTTGTTGCCGGTCACTGGTAAAGATGGGTAATCTTCGTTGATGGCTCGCCAGTCATTCCATGCTGTTTGAAGCGCACTTGATTTAGCTTTGTCTTCATAAAGATCCGCAACCTCCCGAATCAGTGTTCCAAGAGCACTAGAGGTGGTATCAGAAAACAATGCAAAGAATTTCTCGATAAGAGCTGCTGCTGTGATTGCATTGGTCTTGAAATATGATATTGAGTTGCGGAATTGATCTAGTTTCGCTTGATCGCTTTGAAGCATAGTCGAAGCTCGTTCAATCACAACTCGATGCCGAAGTTGTCGGGCTTGCTCCTGTGATGATAGGTTTGTCGATGATAGATCAAGATTTCCTATACCTTCTGAGACTGTATTAACACTCGTCGAAGGACGTGGTGCATTTCTTTGTGGTTCTTGTACCGGAGGGGCCCGAGATTGCGCTGGAGTTGGTGCTGTCAATTGACCTCCAAAAGTTCGAGTCGTGACAGATTGGGCGCTCTGAATAGCCATCTGTCTGTGAAATGCCTGTTCATCCCGCCGTAGCGGCTGAGCAGATGAAGCAGGTATTGGTTCCGCATCCGGATCTCTCCCTCTTCCTCGTCCACGACCATCTCTCTGCTCTCTCTGACTTCCACCACCTCTTCTCTCTTGCGTATAAGGAGCTCTATAATCGAAAGATGCAATATCAACATTTCTCGCATCTCTCCTCACATCTTTTGACAGAGAATCTCCATGCTCTTTCAGTTGATGAGCTTTATAATCCAGTTCCGTCTCAAAGACCTGAAATCGTTGCTCCACACATTCCCGCTCCATACACGGGAAATGTGATTTCCTAAAATGTACCGTCAGAGCCTCAAAGTTTTGATAATACTGCGGTGGTCCATTCCGTCTATCACAGATAAAACATCTCTCATGCTTCTCTCTGCAATGAACATAAAGTTCATCCTCCCCATAAAATCTCAATCCACAAAATTGACATAACGGATGACCCTTGAATCCACTCTGATCAATAGCTCCCGGATTATCATCTCCTTTTCGATTATGATTATGTAGTTCGGCCTTGGTATAAAGATCGTGCTCATGCGTAAAGACTTTTTTGTGCCGTGAGCACAAATCGCAGATTTCCTTGTGGTGGACATTTCTGACATGACGATGTAAATCGGGCCATCCCATACACGCAACATCACAATCTTCATCGGGACAATTGTATCGCAATAACAATCTCGTATCCTCTCGCATATCATTATTCTCGTATCGAATACCGATATTCTCATCCGTCAGATTAACCGGCGTATCAGCATCGGTATAATCTTCGTATCGCTTGACCGGATCATCTGTAAAAATAACAAACGGCGCAGGAGTCTACAATAGTTAGCAACTCTCTCCCCCTTCCTTCATAAACAAGAGATATGAATATGGATAACCCACCCTACAATGCGGACAATCCTTCGACTTATACAGCGCCCTCATCCTCAACGCACAAATATGACAAGTCCGATGATTACAAGGCGCAAGAGCATTGTGCACCACATCACTCGCACAAATAAAGCACACCTCTGCCTCGACATCCTCCTCCACACCCTTCCCATCCTTCGCCAGCTTCTGCGCTTCATCAACTACCTCCGGTCGTTTACTCTGCGCCTTCTTCTGAGCTTGGGATAGCCCCCCTCGTCTACCCCTTTGCGATTGAGCCCCCGATGAATTGGAATTCGATAGTCCCTGGCCGTCGCCTCCTCCCCCTCCTCGACCTCTTCCTCGACCTCGTCCTCTCCCCCTCTCACCTCTGGCACCATCCCCTTGCCTCGCCTCGTTGCTCGAGCTCCCCGGTCCTTCAGATGCCATTGCCTCAGCTCCTATAGATCCCCCAATCGAATTATATTCCGCAGCTTTTGTAGCTGATTTGTATTGATAAAGCGACTGAGCTCGTGTCCCGATTTCCGCGGGGTGAGTGGTGGTGGTAGCTAATTGATGTATTCGTAACAACGGGAAGCTGTTGAGAAGGTGTGTTGATAATTTGAAGTTCAGCGGCAAACAAGGTGGGGCGACGAAATGGCGGGGTTCAGCTTCTTGATTCGCGGCATCGGCTTCGTTTGCGCTAGTACAGTATTACCAAGTATGAGTCGAAAAGGATTCTAGAAGAATTTGCGAAGAAGTGGCGCTAAGAAAAATATTCGGCAAGGAGTCAAACTAATTGACTTTTGTGCTTACGAAGCATATAAACAAGAAATAGAGTCACATTCACTGTAAAGTCGTATCCTCTTACTGAAAGAGGGAGGTAGTGAGAGGAATCCACGTGTGTAGCACAAGGCAGCTGCTGGTAGGTACAGTAGATAAATCTTATAAGTACCCATAGATATTAGATCCATCCCAACTCACCTTCTCAACCATCACAATCCAGGTGTCAATAATTGCTCTGGCTATTGTGAAAGCATTACTTTATTCCTTGGCTGGGATTTTTGAAGAATCCATCAAAGCAAGCTCAGGTCTCCTCCCATATGAACCCCTTACCCAGTATTCAACCATCCGTCCATCCTATCCAGCCATGCCATGCAAAGTAAAAAAAACTCCTTGCCAGATCCAAGCCCCAATCCCTTAAAATATGCAACGCCCGGGCGGTCTTCATACAGTCTGCCATTGAGTATTCAACGCTCAGAGGACACCGGCGAGGCCATTAAACCAAAGCACACGCTCCGCAAATCCCTTCCATTCCTGTGTGTCAGATTGAGTTTATTCTTCTTCAATATCGTAGAGTTGTTTTCCTAACAACTTGTTCATAGTGAACATATGTACTTTGTCGGTTTTGAAAATGGACTGTAGCTTGTCATCGCACATGATCTGGCGCTTATCCGATGGGTCTTGGAGATCATTTGCTTTGATGTACTCCCAGATCTTCTTTACTACTTGAGGCCTCGAGAGCTGTGGTGCATTAGTTTGGTGTAGAAATGGTATGACTGAACATGGATCACTTACTGCGGCTTCGCCTACGAGATCCGCAAGAGGTGCCGAAAGGTTGTATTGTTTCTAGAAAAAGTTTAGTTGTTGAACCAAAATCGACAAGCAGCAAGAACTCACATGAAATCCACCTTTCTTTGGCTTCTCCTTGACCTCGCCATTACTATCCAATTCCATATCACTATCATCCTCGGCCTTGACTTTCTTCTCACTCTTCTTTTTTGGTGTCTTCTTTTTTACGGGGGCCTTCTTCTTTGGATTTGCGCCACCTCTGGTAGGTCTAGCTCTGCTATTTTCCTGTGCCTGTAGAAGCGCCGCTAATTTCGCATCGTCTACCTCCTTGTTTTGCTTTCGCTTCTTCTTTGGTGGGGTAAAATCCTCCTCTTCTGACTCTTCCTTGCTCGCGGAAGGGGTGGAAATGTCGGGACTGATACTCGCAGAGCTGGCGGTAGGAGGTTCGGATTTCACTTCGTTCTTGACACTTGAATGACCGTTCGTTGGCGCAGGCGCAGCTTGGATTTGACTTGAAGCATAATCAAATCGTGCAATGATGAGTTCCTTGACGGCATTCTGAGACTCACATGTTAGCGCTGCTGCTGCTTCTTACATGCAGGTGGTGGGGATGAGGGCGCTTTACCTTCTTGTCAGTCAAATCAACTCCTAGTTGCGCCGCGAGACTTTTACGAATTTGGCTTGTAGAAATGGTGTCCAGATTTCCCGAAGCTAGAATACCATCAATGATGGCGGAGTATTGCGCATGTTCGGCGGGGAGTACTAGGTTGCATGTCATCAGCTTCGGTCCGTATGCGCTGGGCCATAGAGGAGGTTGGGTAGGGTATCTTACAAGGAACAGACATCTCGAGTTTGTAGGAGAGAGGACTGTCGTGGCCGCAGGAACGGATACTTTGTTTCCCTTGTGTAGGGAGGATTCTGTACAAGAGAATGGCTAAGTATTGAGCAACATACTCTAGGTTGGGTATGCGTAGTGTAGGGAGCTCGTGTGGGTGGCAGCTGGAACTTACAAGGGTGAAGTGGTGGTCGGGTGGTGTTGAAGGTGAGTCTCTTTATGGCTGCGTTGCGTTCTGGTTGCTAGAGGGAAAGCATGGGCTTGGGCATCACATCATATGAATGCGAAAGCGACCAATGGTTGCTTGACAGCATGCGCCAGCACTCCAGCCGAACGAAATCCGAATTGGTGGTCAATTCGAAGAGCGAAAGGTTTGGTAGATCAAGTTGAGTATTTCCTGGGTGGTGGTTGAGTGGTGTTATGAGTTATGTGTTATTGTTATGCTGTTTGTTATTGTACCCGATCAGACCCAGAGCAAGCCTTATGTTCTGAAGCGGAAAAACGACGAGTCCCGGCATTTTACCGACAGCCATATTCAACAGCCATTCTTCTCCAGTAAGAGCAAGGGTCAGTGCCCTACTGACTCCTAGCATTACTCTACTCCCTGGGAGTCAATAGAACCGAACGAAAACAGACAAAAAGTAATTATACTACTCATCCCCAAAGCCATATAAGTAGATTCAAATGCCCCTCTACGTACATCTCTATGCTCGCGTAGAGTCTTTACTAAAAACCTAAAAGTAATTACTCTACTTACTACAAGTAAATAGAACTATAGTAGAAGCGAATATCTTCCTTATTTCCTTACTTCTATTATATTCGGTTTATATCTACCTTCTTATATAACTAACTACCTACATCTTTTTCTCTCTATTAGTTAATGTACTTAATATAGCTATCTACCAAACTACTCTATTCAACAACCACCATCCTTCTAAATTACACTCACCTTTCTAGCATATTACATTCACTATCACATCACACACCTTAACCATACCCCCAACTCCACTCACTCTCCCTTCAAAATCCCCGAATTCCCTATCACCACAACACAACCCCGGCCCTCCACAACAACACAAATATACTCACCACACTTCCAACATCCCATAAAAAGAATCAGGAAAAGAGCATAAAAATTCGAGTTACTCTATCATCAGTCCTTTTCTGTAACTCAACACTTTTATCATGAGTTTTCACCGTGTTTGAGACGAAATGGTTCAGTAATGAAAAAAGAACACTTGATTGAAAGACTGTATTCATAGTACAACCATCCTAAGAAATATAAACAAATCCCCCACCCCCAATCTATCATCATCGCTACTTCATAACAACCAAAAAAGGCCAGCAATGCAACATCCCCATCGCTTCACCCCCACAATCTGAATACCGGTAGCCTTTTTTTCATAATTCCGTTTACTCATCAGTCACTGCAGCAAATTTATCCGTCATGGCCTGAACCAGATCCTCATACTAGAAATCTTGGTTAGTAACGTCAACACATCAAGGATCGTTTGACGTACCTTTTTAGTGATAACATCCTCTCCATCCGAAGGAACCTCAAATTTCATACTTCGTAATTGCGACTGGAGTTCACCAGTAGCTTCTCGGACCTTGTTCCAGTTCTGTCCCTGGGCAACAGCCTTCTGTGCCTCGTCATGGAAACCCATCATAGCCTTCATCATCCACTCCGTCTTCCAAATAGGACAGAATTGATCATAATCCGAGTAACCATTTTGTTGCAAGAAATCTTCCTTGATCATGGCAGCAACATCCAAAGTGATCTTATCAGGGTCAGACAAAGCTGATTTTCCAACCAACTGCACAACCTGATCCAGTTCTTCGGAATCAGAAAGCAGAGTCTTGATACGATCACGAAGACGAGGGAAGTCGGGGTGATCCTTCTCGTAATACCTATCGAGAACGTTGGTGTATTTGCTGTAACTGACGGATGTGTTGATAGATGGGAAATGTTTTCGTTGAGCGAGTTTCTTGTCAAGACCCCAGAAAACCTGCACAATACCCAAAGTACTGCTAGTGACGGGATCTGAGAAATCACCACCAGGAGGACTGACAGCACCGACAATACTGACACTTCCCTCACGATCTGGTCCACCAAGAGCTTGTACCTTTCCGGCACGCTCGTAGAAACTGGCCAATTTAGCTCCCAAGTAAGCCGGGAAACCCTGATCAGCCGGCATTTCTCCCAAACGACCAGAAATTTCACGAAGAGCCTCAGCCCAACGAGAAGTCGAATCAGCCATCATGGCAACATCTTTTCCCTGATCACGAAAATATTCAGCTACAGTAATTCCCGTATAAATGGAGGCTTCGCGAGCAGCTACAGGCATGTTGGATGTGTTGGCGATCAAAGTGGTACGCTTCATGATGGGTTCCTTTCTTCCGTCGACATCGATGGAGAGTTCCGGGAAATCCATCAAGACTTCCGCCATCTCGTTTCCACGTTCACCACATCCAACATAGACAATAATGTCACTGTTGGAGAATTTGGACACCGACTGACTAATGACAGTCTTTCCACAACCGAAAGCTCCAGGAATGGCTACGGTACCACCTTGGACACTAGGGAAGAGAGCGTCCAGAACTCTTTGGCCGACAACGAAAGGCTTGTCGGCTGCCAACTTTTCAGTTGTTGGACGAGGCACACGGACTGGCCATGTGTGCATCATCATGTACTCGGTCTTCTTGTCATCGAATTCGACTTCCAGAATCTTTTCATCGACCTTATAGCTTCCCTTCTCTGCGATTCTGGTGATAGTTCCTCTCGCTCGTGGTGGGAACAAGATTTTGTGATCATCCAAGAGGGAGTTTTCGTAAACTGTACCCCAAATATCTCCACCAGTGATGTGATCTCCCACCTTCTTCAGTGGCTTGAAATCCCAGTCCTTCGTTCTGCTCAGGGCAGGCGCTGCAATACCACGGGGAATATAGATACTGTCTGCAGCTTCTGCGATAGCTTTCAAAGGGCGCTGGATACCATCATAAATCGTTTCCATCAACCCAGGACCCAATTCGACGGATAGTGGCTTTCCAGTTCGCGTAACAGGGTCTCCGACCGTTACACCAGCTTCGTCTGGTCAGTAAATGTCCCACACATTTGCAGATGCATTACTTACCCGTTTCCTCGTAAACTTGGATTGTGGCTCGATCTGCCTCGATTCGAATGACTTCTCCTACGAGGTTATCGTGACCGACTTTGACCTGGAGGGTGGTAAGCTGCTGGGGATGTGTGCCAATGCCAACTCTGGAAGCTCACCAATTCGTACATGGCAACACCAATCATGTTTTCTGCCACCACGACGGGTCTAATTGAATCAGTAAAAAGAATGCAGTGATATCCGAAGATGTGACATACCCGGAGACCGAGTAAATAGAACCTGTGCAGTCATGGTTAGCTTGGAGGTTGCAGCCTTTGATGAGGCATCATACCATATTGTAGCTCTCCATCCTCGTCTCTGGACACTTCCTTCTTAGGAGCCATGCTGGGGAGTGATTGCGTGGGTTCGGAGTCGGATTCAGGTTCAGGTTGAAATATGGACTCTTCTTCGTCGGTTGAAGCTATGGATTCGGGTGCAGGTATGGATGCAGGATCTACTGCAGCTTCTGGTTCTCGTTCTGGATCGGGTAAGGATTCTGGTGCAGGTTTGGATTCGGATTCTGGTTCAGGCTTCTGTACGGGGTCTGGTTCTACCTCGGACGCAGATGCAGACTCTGTTTCTGGGGTGAGCGGCGAATCGGAGTCGGGATCGGGGGTCGAGGTAATTAGACTCTGATGTGGTGATGGTGTTGAGGTTGAAGGTTGGGACGTAGGTGTGGTGGGGAGAGGTGGAAGCTCTGGCTCTGCAGGTGTTTCTGCGGGTGTGTTTACCACCAAGCTCTCTCTCTTGCTCAGGCTCAGGCTCTTGCCCACGCTCACGGTGCTGGGAGTGGCTATGGTGGCGCTGGCACTCTTGCTGGTGCTCTCACAGGAGCATTGACCACCCTTCCGATGCTGATGGAGCGTCGGTCGGGCTTTCCCTTTCAAACGCTGCAGAGAGAAGCGCAAGCGACCTATACCCCACCGAGAGCTCGAAGCAACAGCAGGAGCAGGAGAAGCAGCAGGAGCAGCCATGGTTCACAGTTCAGAGCAGTGGAGAGATTGAGGTCGGTGAAGAAGTGACAGCCAGCTGTACATTTTCACAACGAGACGAAGGCAAAGTTATACATATAGCTCTCATTTCTACCTAGTGGAGTATTGCTCTGCACAAATATTGAGAAGCCCCACGATGATAGGTATTCCGCACCTGGCTATCAAAGTCTGAGTCTTCAAGCGCCTCGTCTCGAGGGCCGCATCGTGGCATGCGTACAGCCCATCCGTGGAGTTTTCTGTGGGTAATGGTCTTATACTAGGCATGAAGTACCTAGGTAGATTGGTGAGGCTGGGCTGGCAAGAGTGGCATTGAGTGGTTGTGGTTAGTAGACGCTGCGGAGAGCCCACCAGAGCCTAGCCGTGCTAGTACCAGATAGCATAAATAGCCCACTAGGTTCGAGGTAGGCGAGGCTGTAAATACCAAGGCAGAGGCAGTGACTAGCGGTGACCCAGGCTGACGAATCTCGGTTATGAAAAGATATAAAGATTCTGTGCCGGATACCATGCCATGCAGCGGCAGCATTGCTACCCAGGTAAAGTCTTGTACCTAAGAGTAACATACTCCGTACCACGGGTAGGTGGTAGGTACGGGGTATTGGTCCAGATGACGAGAATCACATGGTGTTGTTCTGATTCAGACGGGAGCTCGGGTACCAGAGGAGTGCCCGCCTCCCTGTGGACAAGAAAAGTGGCAGAGACCTCTTTTATCTTACCTAGGTATCCTAACTTACCTATGTAAGTAAAAACGATTATATTATCTTAGAAAAATAATTCAAATGATTTATCAAAAACGATAGCACAATAAAGGTAATTGTCCTAGATATTTTAAACATTTTAGTACTTAGAATCAACTTACGTTAATAGTTGAAAAATAAATCTCTGCCACTTTTCTTGTCCACCGGGAGCCCGCCATATCCGCCTGTTTGCGTGCAATGTGGCGGGTGCAGGTGGTCCAGTGCTGTGGCAGTGGTGGCAGTACCCGAAACTGTGCACTGATTGTGATAGAGAGGGAGCAGAGCTTCAAAGCTCACCCAAGGCTCAAGCCCACGACACGACTCCACCCACTACCACTCTCCCACATCTCACCTCGTACTTGGAGGATGACCACGTCGCCCACGGACAATAATATACAATCAACCCAATGTGACATCATCCTCACCACCAAACACCAACACCACACCACACTACACTTACGCCCTTTAGACCGACCGCGATACCCAACCTAATCGTTCCGCACCGGCTACCGCACCGCACCCACCACCCGTCAACACCACTACTAAGCGCCGCTAAGCTTCAGCCTTCAGCCTTCAGTCGGATAAGGAAACTATCGAACCTCTAACCTTACCGACTTCAACGTCTTCTCTCTCCCTCAACCTCCACCCACCCCCCAACGCCCGATTTGCTTCCAAGGGCCTCTCAACACCACCCCCAACCCTTGAATTGTATCGCACGTCTCTCACAGAAAGAGACTACGCAGGNACCCCCCAACGCCCGATTTGCTTCCAAGGGCCTCTCAACACCACCCCCAACCCTTGAATTGTATCGCACGTCTCTCACAGAAAGAGACTACGCAGGTACACCCGCAACAGTCGTCCTGGCAGACGAAAATCCACATTCTATATCCCCATCATCCACCTCCGACGACCCACCCACGCCGCAACCCTACCCCCCCATCTCTCCCAGCACAGCAATCTCAGCACCACAGCCCGCCATAAGTTTCAATCAAGAGGAAAGTGAGGAAGAAATCCCAACAGACACAACCATAAGTGCTTCCTCAGACCGGCCATATCGTCATCCCCGAACATCACCCCCGTCATCGTCCACTATTCTTGGCCGGCGACGTCGAGAGAGATCTCAGGAATTCGAAGGCCGGTCTAGCATTCACCAGGGTCCCAGTGACGCGGTGGATGTGCAGACTGTGGAAAACGAACACCGCCGAAAGCGAAGACGGGAAGGTCCTAGAATGAGAGCGGACGGCGAAACCAGCAGTTCCAATGGTACCTCGAGGCCATTTCCAAATGGATCAGGCGCGTCCCCTCTCCACAAGGCGGCAATTTCCAACTCGGCGAATGGCATGCGCAAATCCCCGATAGCGACGAATGGTTCGTCGAGTACAAACGGTCATGGAGGGGCCAATACCAAGCCCAGGCTACCCTATTTTGGTCATGATCGAGAAGAAGTGACGAGAATTATGATACAGGCCCTGACAGATTTAGGATATAATGATGCAGCCGCAACTTTAAGTCAGGAAAGTGGGTTTGTCCTGGAAAGTGAAATGGTTGCAAACTTTCGGAATGCCGTTTTGCAGGGCCTATGGGATACGGCAGAGAAACTTTTATTCCAAGGCACGATAGAAGGTGGGGTAAGCATCAGTGGGAATGGGCTGGTGCTGCAGGAAGGCGTAGATAAAAATGTCATGCGGTTCTGGTTACGGCAACAGAAATTTCTGGAACTTCTGGAGAAGCGGAAAACAGGCGAGGCTCTTCTTGTTTTACGGCAGGAGTTGACGCCCTTGTACCAAGATACTGCAAAACTCCATTTCTTGTCAAGGTTGGTCCTGAATTCCACTTTTTTTTTCTCACGCTAAAGTTATGTTCAGTCTACTCATGTGTCAGTCAACTGATGATCTTCGGGAAAAGGCGGACTGGGATGGGGCTGAGGGCGGCTCACGATATCAACTCCTCTCGGAACTGTCCAGTAAGAATATTGAACCAATGATCACCCTTAATTTACAATGAGACTAATATTGTCAGAATGTATATCTCCTTCAGTCATGCTACCTGAACACAGATTAGCTGTTCTCCTACAACAAGTAAAGCGAAACCAAATTTCAGACTGCCTATATCACAATACTGCCACATCGCCTTCGTTATATCAGGACCACAGTTGCGATAGACATAATTTCCCGGTGAAAACTGTCCTAGAACTAGACAAGCATACTGGGGAGGTTTGGCATGTCCAATTCTCACATGACGGATCAAAACTGGCAAGTTGTGGGGGTGATGGATTGGTGATGATATACGATGTCCCGTCGTTCGAGTTGCTGCATACTCTCCACGATCATGAATTCGGCGTAGGATCTTGTGCATGGAGCCCCGACGACTCAATGCTAATCACATGTTGTCAAGACAAAAAGGCCAGGTTATGGAACGCCAATGTGAGTGGATGTCAATACACCCAAACAACGCAAACTAATGCTATGCAGAGTGGTGAATTAATGAGATGCTTACGACCATTCAGCGAACCTGTCAGTAGTTGCGTTTGGGCTCCTGATGGAAATTCTTTTGTAACTGGCTGTTTTGACAAATCTCATAATTTGGTTCAGTGGAATCTCAACGGTGACAAGGTGTATGACTGGGGTCGAAACCATCGAATTCAAGATCTTGCCGTATCACCAAATGGCCACCGATTAGTAGCCATGGATTCTGACTGTCATATTCACGTCTACAATTTCGTGACACGCGAGCTGGAATATGAGATGGACATGAAAGCCAAACTGAGTTCAGTCAGTATAAGTCAAAACAACCGGTACTTATTGGTCAACAAGAAAGACGGTCAGGCTCGGATGTTGGACTTGGATACTCAGGAGTCACCAAAGTTTTTCCAAACCGGTGATCGAGGGGGCGCGAATGTCATTAGAGCTACTTTTGGTGGAGCCAACGAAAGTTTCGTGATTTCCGGAAGTGAAGGTATATTTAATACCATTTTGAGGTTTAGCTTTTAGGTTTGCTAATCATTTTCATTTCAGAGGGCTATGTTTCTATCTTTCATAAAGACAACGGGCAACTTATCGAGAAACTCGATGGTCATGAGAAAGGGTGTTGTAGCTCGGTATCGTGGAATCCAACCAATCCATGCATGTTCGCGTCAGCCGGGGATGACTGCAAAATTCGGATGTAAGTCATCATCTCGACCATTCCCGAATTTCCCGAATGTCCCTACTAACACCATCAGATGGTCCAACGAAGACTCAAGCTCCAAGTCAAGATCATCAAAGGGATCACGGCATTCAAACGGGTCACAGCAGGAATCCAACGGCTGGTGAAGGAAATAGAGAACATGACATTTTGGAAAGACAACAACATAGCACAAAGGGGGTTCAGGCGTATTGTGTGGCATGGGATTGGGGATTGAAATTCGTCGGTTTTTTTTTTCTCGTCATATTCATCTGGGGACACAGGAGATAATATCCGATCACACCCCTTTGTATTTTCATCCCTTCCGGAAAGAACCAATGGAGTAACATCAGGGTCTATGGGTTGGCAGGGGGGCTTAGGCATTTTTTCATGTAATGAATGGTGGTTTTTAGTTGTGGTTGTTTTTTCTTCTTCTCTAATTTCTCCTCGTCTTGAGGATAAGGCCGTGAAAGCATACGTGCTTACCGTAGAGACGCTTGTGGAATTTTTTAAACGTGGGGTTTCGATTGATTTTGTCTGTTTCTAGTTGTCTGATTAAGGTAGGTTGTTATTCGTAGGTAAATATAAACCGTAGACTTTTGTTAGTACTATTTAGAAATACTACGGGATTAAGGATATACCTCTACTAGCGCGGTATATAAATAAAGGGGGGTTCTTTATTATAGTATAAATAAGGTAATAGAGTCTAAGTCTGATTATATTACTATAAAGACCCTTCCTAGGTGAGTAGAGGGCAAGTCTAGATCACGTGGTTTCTGATCTAGAATCACTACTGGGTGAATCTATTAAAGGCCCGCTCTAACGGAGTGGGCCGTTGAGTCAAGTCCTGTGGCTCGAGGGGTTGAACTGCAACCTCAACGCATATAAGTGAGTGAGTGAGCTATATCATTCTCAATCTTTGTACTCTCAGGCGGTTCTTCGAGTTGAAGCCTACTGCATTGGTATCCCTGTTCACGCCACAGGGTTGCATCGAAGCCCAAATCATCCTCCACGAAAGAAACCAGACCAAATCACTCAGAATGTCGACGAAAATCATCACAGTTATCGGGTCCTTGAATACGGATTTGGTTACTGTTACCCCGAGGGTTCCTGATGGGGGGGAGACTTGTGAGTGCATTCATTTTTTTTATATTTTAGGGCTCGTGCATAGGAAGATGACTTTTGCGGGCCTGCGGTTGAGAAGGAGGCCTTTGAGCATGCGAAGTGAATTAGGATGCTGATATGTTTTTATAGTAACTGCTACTTCGTTTAGTACTGGGTCGGGTGGAAAAGGAGCAAATCGTATGTTATTTTTTAAATGAGTCTTTTTTCTGTTATGATGTTATCCCACTGTTGCTTTTGTCGTTTTAATTCTCTCTCTGTTTACTTGTATCAAACCTCATTTCATAAGCGACTTCTACTCAAGAAAAATATATAGGCTCACCATTCTATAGAAGCAGTAGCAGCCGCCCGCTTATCCCGCCCAAAACCACCAACTCCAACTCATGAAGAGCCATTAACCGTCAAAATGATCGGAGCCGTAGGCGCAGATACATTCGGCCCCTCTCTCATCGCCGGCCTGTCCAAAGACGGTATCGACACTTCGTCTATCCAAACCATCCCAAACAGAACCACCGGCGTAGCAGTAATCCTCGTCGAGTCCACCAGCGGAGAAAACAGAATCCTCCTCCAACCCGGCGCCAACCACTCTCTCCTTCCATCTTCCTTCCTCATGCCCTCATCACTAGGAACACCACTCCCCTCATTACTAATCCTGCAACTCGAGATCCCTCTCGAAACCGTCCTCCAGATCCTAAAAACAGCCAAGCAAGCCAGCATCCCCGTCCTCCTCAACCCCGCTCCCGCCGTCGAACTCCCAGAATTCTGCTATGAAAACATCGACCACCTCATCCTCAACGAAACCGAAGCCGCACTCCTCACCTCGCAACCCCTCTCTATCCTCACCGCCCCAGGCTTCAACTGGTCCAACATCACCACCCAGTTCCTCAGAAAGGGGGTTAAGAACGTGGTCATCACCCTAGGATCCAAGGGTGCGTTTTTCGCTCATGAGGGGATGGAGGAGGGTGTCCATGTTGAGGCTACGAAGGTGCAGAGAGTAGTTGATACGACGGCGGCGGGGGATACGTTTGTGGGGTCGTATGCGGTGAATGTTGTTAGGTCTGGCAGTGGATTGGTTGATGAGGGTGTTGTGGGGGGTGCTTGTATGGCGAGTGCGAGGACGGTTCAGAGGGAGGGGGCGCAGAGTGCGATTCCTTGGGCGGATGAGGTGTGATTTTGTGGGAGGAGTCGATTAGAAAGTAAATGACACTATAGTTGTGGTTTCCTTGTCTTTGGTCGTATGACCGCCTCCTTGCTCTTCATGTTCTCTTTACTTGCGTACTTTCGGTAAGACGGATAATAGCAGGATTTATAGTGAATGAGGATGGGGTCGCTTAAAAGTCCATGGTAGGATATATATCCCACCCTCCCGGTGGACAAGAAAAGTGGTAGAGACTCATTTTTTGATTATTAGCGTAAGTTGGTTAACTTAGTTCTAAGTACTAAAATGTTTCAACTATCTAGAAAAATTGCCTTTATCGTCCTCTTCTTTTAGATCAATCGTGTTCATTAGTCTAAATAAATAGTATGATAAAATGGGTTTTAGTCAAGTTATGCTAAGACAAAAGATCTCCCTGCTCTTCCTGTCCACTAGGGCTCCTACCCTACTACTAGAATACCACACTCCTCCAACACTACTACCATATCCACCATATCGTCAACAAGCTCTTTATACCCTCTCATATTATTCCACTCTTTATTCAGTCCTCGATATAATCCCTACAGTCGAAAAAGTACTATAGGTATATATAGGTATCGGGATAGTAATAGTACCGGTACTAGACTAACAAGCACTCCTTTCTTTCAAGCTCGGACTCGTTCCTTACAGTAACTACCGACGTACTCTACAATTAGTATCGGGACTCGGGATGGTATATATAGCTTATAGTAGGATAGCGGATAGCTTGAATAGTAGAGTCGCTGGGTAAGAAGGGCTTTCTGGGTGGGGCTTTGGTCTAGAAAGAGGGGTTCTTGTATTTGGTAGGTATAGGTGAATGTGAGGGGTAGATAGATATATATAGGGCAGGTGGTGGATATACCTATAGTACTAGCTTAGAGAGTTTTATAAGGATAGTTCTTTTTATTTCTTTTCTCTACTTTTTCGTTTTATTTTTTGTTTTTCGCGCTTGGTTTGTGTTGGTACGACCTGGTTGTCGTAAAGGGTGATACACAAACATAATCTCTCTTTGTAATCATTCGTGTATGAAGAGTAAAGGTAAAGAGAGGTGGTACCCTACAAGCTTAAGTATATAAGTGGCAAGCCACTCTCATGACCTAAAGCATATAGATCCACCAGGCTCTCGTACAAGGTGCTATTCACCAGAATTATACGACAGTTTGTTTTGTAGGTGCTTACTAAAATATAGTCTTAATACGGTTGTAATACGGCCGAGGGTATTTAAGTTATACTTTGCTTTTTACTTGTATGTAGAGGGGTTATAAGGATTTGAGGTAGATGGTGATATAGAGGAGAGTAATGATAAGTTTTGTTTAATATAATGTATATTAGTTAATAAATGAATATAAATGGTGGAATTTATAGGAGATAAGAGGAGGGTTATTTAGCAAGCTATAGTAGGTTATATAATATACTTTATTACAAGAATAGTATACTTCTCTAATAGACTAATACTAGATCTACTATATTATTAGCGAGCTCTTTTGTCTTACTTATATACCCCTCGCTATTAGCTCGTTATACTATGTGCTAGCGCGAGTCTTAGAGGGGAACTTTATATATTATCTAGTTCTTATTTCGAGCGTTTTTGTACTTGTTTACTTATCTTCTATAGTCGAAGTTATTACCATACTCAATAGTTTATATTTTATTAGATTAAGCGTTTTAATTAGTCTATAATATAGTCGAAGTCTAAGTACTTAGCGTTTAGTTAGTTAAACTACCCTTATAAGGGGTACTAGGCCGAGGGTACTTATACCTCGCTTTCCACTTATATATATAGGCGAATTATAAGTACTTAAAGCTAGCTAGTAATATAAAGGAAAATAAATAATAAGTTTTATTTAATATGAGAAAAAGAATACACAAAATGAAAGACTCTCTATCACTCTCCGCGAACTAAGCGAAAACACCACTTCACTCACTCAAATAAAAAGCAAAACAGTCTGCGAACTGTTTTATAGATTTCCAACCCATCGCTAAAATCCCGTATAAATCAAAATAGATTTTTATCGACCAAACGGATTGTCCATGCCGAGGAACTTGTTACCAAAAAGAAAAGATCTCCAAGATCTCCTTTCTTAGCAAAGTTTTTAGCCAATCAGCGCACATCGAATCGATCTTGGCAGGAACTATGCATTAATCATATGAGGAGATATCCGATTCAAGTTAAATTTGATAATTAAATAATTTATACGCCTCGAAGATCGTAGATCTTAGTAGTAAATTCTATAGTAGTATTCGTAATTCCTAGCTTAGCTTAGAAACATTTATTTATTTTATAAAGCGTTTAAATATAGCTTATATTTCCCCTTCTCTTCTCTCTTATATAACTTCTTATATAAGTAAGAATAAAATAACCCTGTATTATAACTACCCTTCTAAGCTAATAAAATCATTTAACTTATATAAATATACCCTATTAAATTCGATTACTATAGTTAATTTAATTAGTAGTATTTAATTAACTTAACTTAAGTAGTAAAAATTACTAATTAACTTAACTCGCTAAGTAC